ACATCACATCGCATAATGACATTTTGAAAACGCAATATTTTACCTTGATAAAATATTTTTACAAACAAATACAGAGGGTTAATTAATTACCAGTTATGATATTAATACATATAGAAGGCCAATTTTAAAGTTTTTTAAATACGTATTCGTCAAGAAAACTATACTTTTCTGAAAACTCATTATGCGATGTGATGTCACACCGGTGATATTTGCATATGAAACAAAGTTGAATATCTTGAAAAGGGAGCAAGTTACCAAAATTCTATAAAAGAAATTATTAAGTCATTTTAAGTCATCTTTACAATGCAACCATAAACCTTTAGGGTGAAATTTCGTGTCCTATAAGGTATACATTGAAAATCTGCTGGGTTTGTGTACAATTACCATGAAAAAAAAAGAGCAAAGATCGATGTTTGTATACAAGCTTTCAGAAGAATATCCCTTGCATCCAAGTTGAAACTAGCTAACTTCGCGACCTCGTAACTTCGCTTGGAACGTGAAAATTTGTCCTATTTTACAGATACTTGCATAATACGGGCACGTCACGCTCGGCAGCTTGTGTCGAGTCTTCACTTCCGTAAATTGAATTTCTTTTATCCATATTCGATAAAAGAATTTGTCAACATTGCGATTTAAACGAAGTGGAAAACGAACAGCACTATTTAATGCGGTATAGTATAAAGACAAGGTTACTGATCTTAGGGCAGATTTTATCGTTAACCAAATGAATTACTCGTTGCTTTGTATATGTATGTTATTGTAATGAAAGCCGTTGGAACATTGGTACCCAAGTATTGATTCGATGGATGCCCTAACAAATTTTGATCAATCATAGCTAGTATAATTCTAATTGTTAATCTGGTCTCTCTGCAAATTTAATATGTTTTATATTTTATCTGCCAGTATTAGTAGTTCTGTTAGTGAATAAAGTTTGTTTTGTAGTCTAGCAAACACTCACCATGACGATAACCAGTCAGTTTGTATCCCTGTAATCGCGACTCCAATTTTGTCTCCTTGGGACCATATTGCCGATTGCCAACCACAGGGAATTTGCCAGTGAGATTGAAAAACAGAACGAGGCTGAGCGACCAAAGATAATATTTTCGTGACATCTTCTCCGTCTTTGCTTCCCTGTAGGGGACATTAATGATATACACATGCTTAGATTTCAATGATAATTACTAGTCAGGCGATAAACATATAAAGTGGGCATTTCCTGTGTTGAAAATCAATTAAGTCGTGCAAGTAAGCACGCCAATGCCATATACTATAGTAAGGTTTCTAATTACAGTTTTTATAAATACAGACTCTTCAAATTTAGCTTTGAATATTTCCGTATTTAAAGAAAATTTCGGATAGATACTGTAGAGTTGAAACTACCTTCAAGATTTATATTCGTGTTTTCGGTAAGAGAAATGGCGGTACGGTTTATATAGTGAAGAGGATAGCGTTCTAAAGCAAAGGGGAAAATATGACAGTTTGCAAAAGAGTGAGTGACAGACATTTTTAGTTCGACGTTTTGAACCAAGGCTCAATGGACCTCCCCAATCAACCAAAATTTTGAACTCAACAAGTCTAGACAAAAATTTCATCACGGCTTGAAAGAGCATCACAAAATTAGTAATATTCCAAAGTTTCGTTGCGAAATGTTGTAAAATGCGGATAATATAGCCTTGCGAAGTTTGCAATTTTCACTCATTTAAATTTAGATTACAAACGGGAAATGGTTACCACTTCTGTGCGTAATACAAAATCGGACTGAAAATTACAAACCTCGCAAGGCTATATTATCCGCATTTTACAACATTTCGCAACGATGGAATATTACTAATTTTGTGATGCTCTTTCATGCTATGATAAAATTTTGTCTTGACTTGTTGTCTGTTGTTGAGATCAAAATTTTGGTTAATTGCATGGGAATGGTCCATTCGTTGGTCAAATTAACCAGTGTTATAACGAATCGAGTCTTGAATGAGTCCAGTCAATTTTCTGCGACTCGAATACGAAAATGACTCGAGTCAACCGCGAGTCCAAATGACTCGGACTCGCGGACTCCGGAGTTTTTTCTGCCGGAGGAGTGATTTCTGCCGTGAATAACACGAGTCAACTCAGCTGCAATTCAGTGTTCAGGATAAATTCATCAAAAAATATTGTAGTGGAATAGATTGGGAAGAGTCTTGAAAGAGCTCGAAGAAATGAAAAGTAATGTGACTCAAGACCCTGCAGGGGTACGCCATGTGAAGTCATTGACTCGACTCATGACTCGACCTTTGGCTTTGGGTGACTCGTTTCTACTATCCCACACTGAGAGTGACCGTTCTCAAGATATATTATGGCCAAGGGTGGGTTGACTACAAAATTTTTGTAGTTCGCTACAACTACAGCTACTTCACAAATATGTAATCAGCTACAACTACTGCTACTTTTGAACAAAGGTAGTTCGCTACTGACTACAGCTACTGCTTAATTAAAAAATGTAACGAACTATTTCGCTACGCTATATTTTTAGTTTTACTGTATTTGGAGCATCTACTAACTCAGGCTGTAATGTAACCTATAACAAATCGACTTACGAGTAGCAACAGTAAACACAAAGCAACATTTTTGTATAAGCACTACAGTCAGTGTTCAAGAGTGCAATGATTGATTATTGATTTTGATTATTGATTATTGATTGAGTATTGATTTTAAGCAACTCCGTGTCTCAATATCATGCTATTCTATCAAGTTGCTAACAATTTTAAAAAGTAGCGAATAGCGATTCGCTGTTTGAAAAGTGGTCAACTACTTGGCTACTTTTAGGCAAACTGTAGTTCGCTATAACAACTGTTTTAAAAAAGTAGTCAAAAACTCCTGGCTACTTGAAAATTGTAGTTCGCTACAGTAGCGAACTACAACTACTTCGCTACTACCCACCATTGATTATATGGCTAAGCATGTCTATATTAGTGATATGGCTATAGGCAACCCCATCTAGAACAGTTGTATTAATATACCAGCGTTTAATTCTGTCTCATTACTGATTGATTGGTCTGGATTACTGATGATTGAAGAACAAATCCAGGCGTGTTGGAAACTTGATGTTTTCAGTATCGATCACATTCAAATGTCCGTCTTTCCCAAGCTTTTTATATGTAAATTAATGTTGTTTTACATGTATGTAGATGGCAACATATAAAACATTAATCATACTCGGGACTTTTTACTGAGAGGCTTTTGACATGCACCTGTTTGATAATGTACATCTGTTCGAGACATCGAGCACACTCAATGAAGTAGACTGAATGAAATATTTTGTTAAAAACGATCGGGTTTGGAGTCAACTTTTTTAAGGTTTGTGAAATAGAGCAATTAAACAGTTAATTGACATAAATGTGCTATTTATAAGATGATTGTCTATTTGCCTTAATGTTATAGGCTTGCCTTTGCCACCTGCTAACAGTATTTGGTCTGCCTAAATATACTCAAAGAAATATGATATCTAAGTTTAGTACACTTGGGTTTTTGCACCCATGCATCAAATGTCCGTGGTTTGTGTGTGAACTACCTGAAAAAGATATCTCAAACGTGGTGGTCCAGTGTAGGTAGTATTCTACAATAAGCTGTCGTGGTTTGTGTCTGAACTACCTGAAAAAGATATCTCACTAAACGTGGTGGTCCAGTGTAGGTAGTATTCTACAATAAGCTGTCGTCGTTTGTGTGTGAACTACCTGAAAAAGATATCTCAAACGTGGTGATCCAGTGTAGGTAATATTCTACAATAAGCTGTCGTGGTTTGTGTGTGAACTACCTGAAAAAGATATCTCAAACGTGGTGGTCCAGTGCAGGTAGTATTCTACAATAAGCTGTCGTGGTTTGTGTCTGAACTACCTGAAAACGATATTTCAAACTAACCGTGCTCAAACGTAGTGGTCCAGTCAGTAGGTGGTATTCGGCATGATAAGCTGAATGTCAATTCAGACCTTGGGCAGATATATGGAAGTAGCCGTAGGGCAAGAACATATGGAGCCTAAAAGATGTTGACATGATATCATTTCATTTGTACACTATCTGATTTAAATATCAATCTAGTGTTGTGTACACCGTGCCGTATGTACTTTGCTTATCGTAAGACCATATGCTACACGAGGCAACTTAGCTGGAACTAATTGAAATGTGGTTTCTGACATAGACTCATCTTATCTTAAAAAATATTCGCACATGCAAATATCGACATTGTTCATCGAACAGAATCAGTCTTAATTTGTACTGTAGATATATTTAAACCTGACTGTGTTCACTATAGGAACTCAACACTGAAACGGAAGCACCAGAAGAGAACTGACAAAGCGGAAAGAATGAATGCAGTCGACATTGAACATGTGCCGACATAAAATTTGACACTCCTTGACATTAATAGCATGCACTTGAAATTTGAAAGCATGACTGTCAGTAATTATGACCGAAAACAAAAAGCTGCATTGAGGCTTGTGAAGGAATGAATAAATACAAACTACTTGACTGAAAAATACCAAAAGAACTTCGGCATTCCGAGCGAAGATCTGTCGTTGGAAAGATGGACTGGTTTATAATGTTTTTACTCAGGTGAATATGCTGCTTGTGATGTTACTCTGAGTGTATATTCACACCGGGCAAGCTTGAAAAATATGCCTGACCACGGTGGGAATCGAACCTACGACCTTTGGAATACTAGCCCAATGCTCTGCCATGCAACTGAGCTACGCGGTCAGGTCGGTTCGAGTATGTGACATTTCGGAACTGAGTCTAGTTCCTTCAATATCAATGCAATCTAGTAATTATGATTTTTTCTGTGTTGGTGTAATGTACTTAGGTGAATATGATGTTTGTGATGTTACTCTGAGTGTATATCCACACCGGGCAAGCTGAAAAGTTTGCCCGAACCACGGTGGGAATCGAACCTACGAACACCATTAACACAAACAAAAATGTCATACCTTAGAATACATTGATATCGAAGGAACTAGACTCAGTTCCGACCTGACCGCGTAGCTCAGTTGACAGAGCATTGGACTAGTATTCCAAACTGGTCTCGAGTTCGATTCTCACCATGGTCAGCGCCTCAGCGGCAAACTTTTCAGCTTGCCCGGTGTGGATGCACACTCAGAGTAACATCACAAACATTATATTCGCCTGAGTACATAATACCAACACAGAAAAAATCATATTACTAGATAGTGCATTGATACCCGGCGAAGAAACTAGACTCAGTTCCGAAATATCACATACTCGAACCGATCTGAGCGCGTAGCTCAGTTGGCAGAGCATTGGGCCAGTATTTCAAAGGTCGTAGGTTTACCGTTTACAAAAAGATTGGTTTATGCTATCAAAGTTTCTGTGATCACAGTAGGAATTTTGCATGGGTAAAAGTTTTCACTGAAAGATTTGTCGGCAGTGAAGAAATATCGGAGGGAATCGACTCGATGTTTTAATACAATAGTATAATCACATAAATATTCTTTCTCATTGGCTACAATAAAAATATCACAAAACAAGCCTCTCGTAATGGATCTATAAAATCGGTTAACGGTGGTCGCTTTTAGTGAAGGCTGCCCTTCGATCGTCAAGGAGAGAGCTGGTTTTACTTGGATTATACAAACCGCATAACAACATAAAGATCTCACCATCTTCCCCCCTTGCAAAATCCGTGCCTTGTTCACTAGAAACCTCTTGGAAACCCTATGTCGAAAATTGGCATAACTCATTTTGGCGGCATTCGCATCATATATACCGCAGCCTTTAGACACGAACTACGGTAGCATAGCAAATAAAACGTGTTTGCCGAAAAATTTTGGAAATTGATATCTTACCTTTAATGAGATTTCCAAACTAGATAACACGCTTCTAATGGTCTTAGCCTCCTAGCAGAACTGATGCTCTCTGCTCTGGTCCTCTGTGATAGATTGTCGTGTTATAAACCCGACCAACTGCACTACAAAATAAACAGGTGAAATGTCACCATCAATTGTTGTGTAAATTTCCAATCGTATATTAATATTTATACAGTACATTAGTAAACAGTCAGGTAATATTATAGTCTTGGCCTGCGGCTTAGAGATAAAGGGATAACATGACGTTGATGACTTTTCGGCGTTTTTTAACTTAGGTAAATGCGCGAACACTTCCTCTCCCATTCACTGAAGAATTCGTTGGAAATTGCTTTAAGAGGAGAATCTTTTGTATGTTACACGCGCTCAAAACTAATATTCAAATAATCACTATATTCAAATTTTTAAATTTTTGAACGTTTCTCAAGCGGCAAACAAACTTAAAAAGTATGTTTAGTGCTTTATCTGTAAAAGTATGCTAAAATGAAGAGATTTTAGATGGTACGCCAAAGAGAAAATGATGTCTGAAGTTCAGTAAGTTTTGCTTATATTGCCGTATAAATATGGCGTTAATTTTACAGCATCAATGATAATTGTATTTAAATTGACAATATTTAACTATTATTTTGTGTTTCTCAACCGCCTGCTATTGTTAATTATGAAATATTGCTTGAAATAGGAAAGAACGAAGCAAGCTTGTTCTTGCAGTATTCGATTTGCCAAGTATTAGTACATATATAGATCAGTGGACCGAGGCGTGTGATCATTACAGATCATTCCCATCATGCACCATTGTTTTTTAATACCCATTGAGAGACTGGGTACGAAATATCACATATCAGAGTTCCGAAATGTCACATACTCGAACCGACCTGACCGTGTAGCTCACTATGCTATCGAAGTTTCTGTGATCACAGTAGGAATTTTGCATGGGTAAAGTTTTCACTGAAAGATTTGTCGGCAGTGAAGAAATATCGTAGGGAACCCGGCCCGGGGCAAATTTTTTTTAGGGGCCCTAAAGAAAATTTTTTTTCCGGAGAACAACCTCCCCCCCCCGTCGCCAAAAAAGTTTCGGTCAGTGTACCATTTTAGGGGTCAAAATTTTTTTCCGGAATACAAAATTTTTCCGGACGAGTACATTGCGATTGCTTTCGAGGGACTTTATCTCATTTTTTTATGCCAAAATGCGGTACTTAGCCCAAGAAAACAGATCTCTTGTCCTTTGCGCGGAAATATTTAACACACAAAAAAGGCTGGGGTCCAACAAAAAAATCTTCAGGGGCCCCCAGCAACTCGGGGCCCGGGGCAATTTGCCCCCCCTGCCCCCCCTCTCTGCGGCCCTGAAATCGGTTAACGGTAGTCGCTTTTAGCGAAAGCCGCCCTTCGATCGTCAAGGATTACAACAAATTACAAAATTACAACAGCCCGATATTTATTGACGTTTTTAGCGCGGATTTTACTTTAGTAAACCTATCTTGTGATTATTTTTGAAAAAATATTGTGTTTTGAGCAAAATGAAACTACTAACGTGTACAATTCTAATCCACAGATGTCTTTTCCACATTTCTTTACATATTATCTTTCAGTTTGAGAATATGCATTGATAAAGGATTTTTTTTCAAGATCCAGAAATGATTTTTCTTTTAATTTCGGATATGAAATGTAAAATGCATTAAAGAAATAAATTATTAGTTAAAAAACGGGGGTCACCGATCTTTTTAGGGAATTGTGGCATTAAAACGTGAAATACAAGTAAATATATATACAACAGACACAGGGAACCCTAGCTACACTTTTGTATGCCTTTTTTGAAAACATTGATTTTAATGTAATTCTTTGCACGAATGTAACCAAAGATGTTTTGAAGTAACATAAAATTGTCATAAAATGATATTTTTAAACGGTATACGTATAATAGATGAAATTATAAGTTATAAGATATGCGCAGTAAAAGTGCGCAATGCAAAACTGCGGAATTACCTTAAATGAACAGTTGAGGTTTACAAATTGATAAAAAGCTGTTGATACCCCGGCGTATAGACACGATCTATACGGCAACATAGCAAATGAAACGCGTTTGCCGAAAAAACCGGCACTTTTGGAAATTGATATCTAACCTTTACAATGAGATTTCCACAGATAAGCTTCTAATATATGGCCTCTTGACAGGACTGATGCTCTGTTCTGTGCTCTGCTACGGATTATCCTGCTATAAACATTAAACCCGACCATCTGCGCTACAAAATGAACAGGTGAATGTCACCATCAATTGTTGTGTAAATTTCTAATCGTATGAATAAAATATACACTACATTCGCAATAGACATTAGTAAACAGATCTTGGTCTGCGGCTTAGACAGATAATGGCATAATTTGACGTTGTTGACTTTTCGGCGTTTTCAGTAACTTTGCCTATTTAATAGCTGTGCTATCATCCTGACATAAAATGCGTGGACACTTCACTCACATTCACTGAAGAATTCGTTGGAATGGAGATTGATTAAAAGGAGAATCTTTTTATGTTACATAACACGCACTCAAAACTAATGAACATACTAAAACTACTTCGTTATGACTTTTTCAATTTTATTTTTGTTTCTCAAGCAGTAAACAAACTTGAAAAGTATGTTTAGTGCTTTATCTGTAAAAGTATGCTAAAATGAAGAGACTTTAGATGGTACGCCAAACAGAAAATGATGTTTGAAGTTCAGTAAGTTTTGCTTATGTTGCTGTATAAATATGGCGTCAATTTTACAGCATCAATGATAATTGTATTTAAATTGACAATATTTAACTATTATTTTGTGTTTCTCAACCGCCTGCTATTGTTAATTATGAAATTAATTTTGTTTGAAATACGAAAGAATGAAGCAAGCTTGTTCTTGCGGTACTCGATTTGCCAAGGTTACGAAGTGTACATTATTAGTACATATATAGATCAGCGGACCGAGCAGTGTGATCATTACAGATCATTCCCATCATGCACCATTGTTTTTTAATACTCATTAAAGAGACTGGGTACGAGTCAGCTGCGAGGACGCCACTGATCTCAATTAAAACTAGACAGATAAGCTATCTTATTATGCAATCTAGTAGCCTATAAATGAAGTTATGTTAGCTTAGCTGGAATACTGCGACCTGTTTCCGAAGAGAACATAAATATAGTATACGTCTGAGTGACGTCAAAAGTATATATATATATATATATATATATATATATATATATATATATATATATATATATATATATATATATATATATATATATATATATATGAATAATATCAGTTCTTGACTAATGACTAATGAATACTCAGTATTTTGCGATAGAACGAAAGAAGAAGAATAATTTATGAATTTTCGCAAAGCAAGCTGTGTGAACTAATAAAACATCTCTACTTCCTCGACGCTCAACAGGGTATATTGTGAACATTCGTTTCGTTTGCTATTTTCTCGGCTTTCTTTTAGACCTTACCCAAGTCGATGGAGCTTTTCTAACGAAAGAAGCACTATATAGTTCCGAAAAGCTTCGTGTTATCCGAATTATTCCACCTGCATGTGTATGGCGGGTGATGTGTGTCAAAATTAAGTGAAACATTTTGACAATGATCTTGCAACATTTAGCATGCATGTCAAACAATTTGGCATCATTTGGTTATTGGTTCTGACTATTTTATGGCAACTGCAAAACATTTGGTGACAATATCAAAATATTCAACAACAAAAACGCATTTGACAACAATTTATTACTGCACTGCATGCCACTAAAATGTTATCATTTGACAATGACCCCACGCGTTCGGCAATAATCGTTTCATTCGGCAACAACAATCCCAAAATGCATTGCGATTGTTGCCGAACGTGAGGTCATTGCCAAATGATAACATTTTGGTTCAGTGCAGTCATAAATTGTTGTCAAATGCGTTTTTGTTGTTGAATATTTTGATATTGCCACCAAATGTTTTGCAGTTGCCATAAAATAGTCAGAACCAATAACCAAATGATGTCAAATCATTGCCAAATTGTTTGACATGCATCCCAAATGTTACAAGATCATTGATTCATTGACCGCAAAATGTTTCACTTAATTTTGACACACATCACCCGCCATACGTGTGTTAAGAAACATTTTGGTCTAAGATTTCGTATATTGAATAAAGGACGACATTGAGAGTAATCTTGAGAATAAATAATAAAGAAAGTCATTGCGGAGTAGTTTGTGCCAATGA